TGCGGCGCGCAGGTGCTGGCAGCGACCCAGCCACGCACCCCAGGTTTGCAGGCACGGTGTACAGGCCCTCGTCCCCGCAGTAGCTCAGCTCCAGCCGGGTGAGGCCTGCAGGGCCGAAAGTGCATGTGTGTGTGTGTGTGTGTGCGCATGCGCGTGCGTGACCGTCGGCAGGCTGGCCGTAGGGCAGCTGGCCGCCGCTGGCGCTGCGCAGCTTCTGGCAGGCAGCAGGCCTGCCCAGAGGGCGGGGCCCGCTGCCCTACGGCCAGCCTGCCGACGGTCACGCACGCGCATGCGCACACACACACACACACACATGCACTTTCGGCCCTGCAGGCCTCACCCGGCTGGAGCTGAGCTACTGCGGGGACGAGGGCCTGTACACCGTGCCTGCAAACCTGGGGTGCGTGGCTGGGTCGCTGCCAGCACCTGCGCGCCGCACCCCGCAGCGCCGGGCCTGCGGTTTGCCACGGCAGCACGACCTGTGCTAACCGTTGTGCGCCGCCGCGCCGTGCCCTGGCTGCAGGCGGTGTACGCAGCTGCACACGCTGGCGCTGCAGTGTGCCATGTTTGAGAACGAACTCACGCTGGAGCGCCTGGCGGCCTGCACCACGCTGGAGGTGCGGGGCGCTGGCTGGGCCGGGCGGCGCAGCTGTGGCGCACCGGGCTCGGGCGCCCGCTGCGCAGGCGGCATGCCGCTGATGCGCGCGCACCGAAGCCGCGCGCCTGCAATCACCCACCAGCCTGCCGTGGGCCCTGCTCGCCCGTTGCCCTGCCGCAGCATTTGGACCTTTCCAACTGCTGCCTGTCGCGCGTGCCGCCCGTGCTGGCGCGCCTGCCGCGCCTCACCAGCCTGACGCTGAACGAGAACGACGGGCTGGGCGCCTCGGACAGGGCGCTGGCGCCGCTCTCCATGCTGACCAGCCTGCGCGTGCTGGAGATGCGAGAGTGTGGCCTGCGTGCGGTGCCCTCCAGGTGTGCGACGAGGCTTGCTTGCGACCGCCGCTGTTTGGCGTCCGTGAGAGCAACATCGTACCTCTGCACCCGCCCTGCCAAAACCACGTCCCCTACGATGCATGCTGGTGCCCTGGCCTGCTGCCGCAGCGTGACGGCGCTGACCTCGCTCCAAAGCTTGCTGATGGGTTACAACAACATGACCGAGGTGGGCCGGTGGGGCGACAGACAGCTGCAGCATGGCAGCACCAGGCAGGGCGGGGCCCACTTGCCCACCGATGGCAGGGCCAGCCTGCAGGATGCAAATGTCAGGGCCAGCGCCCGACGCATGTGCCTGCCTGCCTGTGGCACACTGCGCCTGTGCCCCCGCTGCAGCGGCCTTTCATCCCACCGGGGCCCTACCTGGCCAGCCTGCAAGTGCTGGCCCTGAGCGATGCCAAGGGCTTCCAGGATGACTGCCCCTTTGATCTGCTGTCGGAGCCGCTGGCCCCCGCCGCCAACCTCGAAGTGCTGCGTATCAACCGCTGCATGGGCCTGCAGCTCAACATAGAAGGTGGGCCGGCGGCAGGCACGCCGGGGCGCGGCAGAGGGCCCGGGCAGGCAGCACGGCACAGCCCGGGCGACCGTGCCTGCAAGGGAAAGGAAGCAGCGCCTTCTCCGTGCTCACCTGCACCGCTGCGCTGGGCTCCCAAGCGCCAATGAACTCCATTGCTCGCCCACCTGACCCGCCCTCCCCAGCCGCTCCCCGTGTTGTCCCCGCCCGCAGATGTGGCGCAGCTGCTGGCGGGCAAGCCTCGCTTCCGCAAGCTGGAGTTCACCGCAGACATGCTGTCGGATGCGCGGGACCTGGAGGCGCTGCGAGCCCACTTCCCGCATGTGAGGCGCTGGCAGAGGCTTGGGCCTGTGGTTGGGGGCAGGGGGCGGCATCATGCTGTGTGCAGCAAGCAGGGATGGCTTGCCTGTGCCCCAGCTCCATCCCACCGGCAGTCCGGCCGTGGGTTACCCGCTGACTGCACACTTGCCTGCCGTGCCCCTGCTGCAGGTCACTTTCAAAGCGGTGGAGTGAGCGTGGGAGTCCCGCTATGTGCTGTTGTTGGAGCGGTGCAAGAATTCTGGCTGGGCAGGCCAGCCTTCCCCACCCATCCTACTGCCGTTGATATATCATGCTCCTGCGTACGCTTTTCGTATTGAATGCCAAACTTCCTGCGTCAGCTGTGCTGTCCTCAACCATGCGCATGGAGAGGGGGTGTGGTCATATCGGCAGGCCCTGCCGTGTGACATGCCATCGACATCTGCACTGAGCGCAGGCTTCCTGTACCTCCCACATTGGGTAAAATCCTTTGCAAATGCAGCTTTTAATTCGACGCATTTGATCAGCATCCATCCGCTTGTAAACACCACATGTGAATTAAGGCTGGACCGTTGCCCGCTGACTTCCTGGTTTGACACACACGGCCGATGAGTAAGCCTTACATACTGAAGCGCGTGGCTCAATTCTTCAGTCAGGAACAATGTCAATGAAAATAATCAATTTGGAAATGAAAGCTATCTAGTTCCCTGTTCGGTGGCATGCACACTTCATGTTTTCATAGGCAACCATCCAACATGCAGTGCGGGAGGTGAGGGCTGGGAGGGACGAAGGCCGGGTGGCGTTCAGCTGCGGTTTGTACAAGGGGCTGGTGTGTGGCCCAGGCAGCGGCTGCTCAGTTGCAGCTCCAGTTGAACGAGCCGTCCGCTACCTGCGCCGAGATCCCAAGCGTGTCCCACCGCTTGCTGGACTCCCAGTCCGCCAGCCCAGACCGCATCTCTGCAATCACCTGCAGGACAGGGCGGCAGCCAGCCAGCCAGCCAACTCGCACGCACGCAGCGCGCGTCACGGCCGGCATGCAAAAGAGCGGGCGCAGGATGGCACCGTAGCATGCAGCCTGTCGGGCGGTGCCCCGCGGCGCCGCGACACCCACCCGCGCCGCCTCGGGATCCTTCTGCACCTCGGCCCACCACCGCTCCAGCTTGGGCCGCCCCTCAAACACGCTGGCCCAGCCAAAGTGCTTGGGAAGGATCTCTGTGAAGAACACAAAGGTGGGGAACAGCGCACAGTCGCCAAAGCTGATCTCCGAGCCTGCGGCAGCGGGCACGTGGCAGAGAGTGAACAGGCAGGGGTGCCCTGCCAGCCTGCAGGCCAGCTGCTGGGGCAGCAGAGAGCGGCCCCAGGCGGCAGGAGAAAGCGCGACAGACAGCCCTGATGGCAGGACGGCGGCGGTGCGGCAACAGGCATTGCTGCCGGGCAGCCCATACAGGGACCGCTGCCGGCGGCGCACGCTCCTGCTCACCCGCCACAAAGGGCCCCTGAGGGTCCATCACCCCCTCCAGCACATCCATCTGGAAAGCAATGGCCTGCAGCTGGTCGCAGCGCTGCGTCGCATCCATCTGCTTATACATGCAGCCCTGCGGGGAGCAAGCAGGGGTGGGGCAGGGGGCGCGCGCCTGGCGGTTGCTGGCGGGACCCGGGATTGGGGGGGGAGGGCGCCCTGCTGCTGCTGCGTAGCCAAGCCGGCTCGACCCTGGGCATGTGGTCAGCAGCTCCCCTCCTGGCTGCACAAGCCAAAAGCCCTGGTGCCCACCCCCGCCTGCCCGCCCAGCCCGCCCACTGCGCCCAGCTGCGGCACCGCACCTGGATGGGGGTGATGTAGAGGCCGAGGATTTGGGAGGCCAGCGCGGCGCGGCCCCGCGCCTCCGGCGTGGGCGGCAGCAGGCTGGGCCCCACCCCGGCATACTTGTCCAGCAGATAGGCCTCGATGACCGCGCTCTCAGGCAGCGCCTGGCCGTCGGGCAGCACCAGCACCGGCATCTTGCCCTGCGGGTTGAGCGCCAGGTAGGCAGGGCTCTTCGTCCCCTTGTCGCCCAGCAGCCTGGGCGGGGCAATGTCCACCTCGCCCTCAAGCCCTTTCTTGTACAGCACCCAGCGGTTCTGCGGCAGGGCGGCAACCGGCGGTGCGGTGACGACAAGGGGAAGGTGGGTGGGGAGATGGATGGCGCTGCCTGCATGTCCACGCACATGTGGCCAGGGCCCAAGCCAAGGTGCAGGCACGGCGCAAGAGCAGTCTGCAACATTTGGTGCTATGAAAGCAGCGGCTCACCCGGGCCGCACAGTTGCTGACCATGACCCCAAACAGCGTTGGCTTTTCTGGCTTGAAACCTGCATGTGTTGACCGATCGACAATCATCGTTCATCAAGCCAAAGGGCTGGTGGCAAACACATGGGGTGGGTTCTTTTCGCACCCCTGGGGCGGGCAGCGGCAGCGGGGTGGGCAGCGGCGGGCGGCAACAGGGCTGCTGGCAACGTGAGAGGGACTGTGTGTACCAGTTTGCCGCCATCACCGCATGGCAAGCAGCAGCTGCAGGCGCTGCCAGGGTTACCTGTCGAGGTTTCTGCGGCCGCGTCTGCTGCTGCTGCCGCTTGCGGTGCCCGCATTGGTGGCGCTGCCCGCCGGTGCAGCTGGCGACGCCGGGCGGGCGCTGCCGTCATGTGGACAATGCTGGCATGTCCCCCGGTTGCTGCTGGGCGTCTGGCGCTGCGGGGCAGGGTTGCTGCCGCTGCACAAAGGTGGGCTGTGCACAGTTGTTGTATCATGGCTCTGCTGCCTGACCCTCGATTTATTTGGTCCCTGCACGCCTAAAAAGCCGTCTGTAACCGCGCGCCTGCTCATTGGAAAGATGGCCTTGGTTCTGGATGGGCATGCATTGCCCCTGGCCGCCTTTTCCTTGTGCATTGTCGCTGTAACAGCTCCACGCCCCCCATAGGCTCCTGCCACACATCCACAATGGTCGCAGCGGCTGCCATCACTCGCCCCCGTGTAGCCTTCCGCTCCGCCGCTACAGCGGCCCCAGGCAGGCGGTCAGTGCGGGTGCAGGCAGGTCCTGCCACCCTGGCGCTGCCCGATAGCATCAGCAAGGTGGGCAGTGAAGCAAGGATGGCGCCGCTGTTCATGGCGGCAGGAGCGGCGGCGGCAGCGAGCACTCCAGAGACAGCGCACACATTCCATGACCTGCTGCCTTGCTGGGTCCACAATATGCTGCTTGTACCAGGACCCTGTTTGCATGCCTGGATGTCGCTGCTGTGTCCCACCAGCTGTGCTTGGGCCGCCGTGTGGCACACCCCCTGCCTGCCCGCCCCCCACCGGGAAGCAGGTGCTGCCCAAGGGGGACCTGGTGCTGGCTCGCGTGGCGGAGGCAGAGGAGAAGACCAAGGGCGGCATCCTGCTGCCCGGATCCGCGCAGTCGCGGCCCACCAGCGGCGACGTGGTGGCGCTGGGCGACGGCCAGGTCGGCGCCAAGCAGCACACCTTCACGCTGCAGGGCGGCGAGACGGTGCTGTACAGCAAGTTTGGCATCGGGGTGACGGAGCTGGAGGTGCAGGGGCAGACGCACATCCTGCTGCGGGAGGACGACATCATCGGCATCATGCCCCGCCCCAACGCCACCGCAGCAGGTGAGGTGCAGGGGGACGGCCCGGCGGCAGGGCTGGGGCGGCAGGCGGCTTCATCAGGGCGTCATCAGGGTTTCATGCGCGAGTGGAAGTTGTGCCATTGGGAAATGGCCTGGCGCCACGCTGGGCAGCCAGGCTGTAGCCGCCATCCCATGCTCGCTGGCACCTGCATGCCACATGCTCACGCACCCCTGCCCCCCGGCCCTGCCGCCCCTCCCCCCGCCCCCCGCAGACATCCCGGAGCTCAAGCCGCTGGGCGACCGCATCCTCGTCCAGGTGCAGGAGAGCGCAGACGTGACGCTGGGGGGCGTCATCCTGCCAGACAGCGCCAAGGAGCGGCCGCTGAGGTGCGCGGCCAGCCAGCTCGCCTGCCGCCTCGCCTTGCTCCTCGTGTGCGCGACCCACTCTTGATGCCCGACACTGTGCATCCAACCGATCCCGGTCCTGCCCTGCACCCACCCGCCCGTGCCTGCAGCGGCACCGTGGTGCGCTGCGGCCCCGGCAAGATGGGCGACGACGGGCAGCGCAAGGCCCCCAAGGTGAAGGAGGGGGACAGGGTGGTGTACTTCAAGTATGCGGGGGACAGCATGGAGACGCCTGCCGGCGAGAAGTACACGGTGCTGCACGAGCAGGACATCCTGGCGCGGCTCTGAGCTGGCGCCAAAGCGCAGAATCACGCTTTATCACATGCGCCGGCCAGAGCGCTGCTGCTGACTACATAATAGTGCGGAGTAATGGCCCTCGCCCCAGGTTGTTCGCTCGCTTCAACCGACCCGCCTCACCCGTTGCTTGCCGCCGGCGCCCTCGCGCGGCGGCGGCCCCCTCTGACTGCTCCTTCTCCTTGTGATGACTCCTTTTGGTAATCCCAGAAACATGCATAGAAGGGCACGTGTTGGGCAGTGGGGAATCGGAGGGATGCAGACGGTTTGCTGCTCCCGCCCTCGCCTCCACCCGCCGGCCCCCATGGCGTCAGCAAGTCCACCCCTCGACCAAATGCGCGTTCCCTGGTGCATTGCCTGCCTTCCCCTGTCGTCTACGGCAATGCAGGAAGGCCTGCAGGGCCCTCCTGCTTGTCTTTGAGTTGACTGCTAGAGGTTTAGAAGGCCTTCGATAGCTAGACTTTCGCGCCGCCGTGCCATGCGGGCCATCTCGACGGCCCCATGCTCTCTGGAGCAGCCAGGCCACGGCCAGCTCGCCGGGTTGACCCACCACCTCTACAGCCGTGCGCTGTGGCCCCTAGCACGCTGCAGGCAGCCTGTTGGAATAACGGCGAGCGGCACGGCGGCCAGAGGAAACCTTGCAAGCCGCGGCAGCAGCCTCACCCGCCCGCCGCGCCGCCAGCAAGCCGCGGCAGCAGCGGCAGGTGGCGGTGTCCCAGCTTTTGGAGCATGTGCGGCAGCAAGAGCAGACTGGGCTGCTGCCCAGGCACGCCGCCAGAAGTGGCAGGGCAGCACCACCTGCCGGTCCACGCCCCCAGCGGCAGCAGCGAGCAGCGGCGGCGGCGGCGCGGCGGCCGACGCTGGCGGCAGCAGCCGCGGCAGCGGGCCGCCGCCAGAAGCGGGCTCGCGGGCGTTGCACCCGGCAGCCCTGAACTCTCTCTATTCCATGTACTTCTGTGCGTGCTTCGTGGAGCGCACCTGGCGGTTTGGCCTGCCGCTGGTTCTGGCCTTCATCCCCGGCGGCTTCCAGGCCATCGCCTGCCTGGGCTTTGTGGCGCCGCTGGCCTGCACGCTGGCAGGCCCCGCGGTGGGTGCTTGCTGCCGCCGGGGCCTGCCGTCATCGGTCCACGGCCTCGCTGATCCCTTCTCTCTCGACCTGCTCGCTTGATGGGCACCCTCCCTCCTGCGGACCATGCGCTGCCATCCCTCGCTCACTGCCGCTCCCGCTGCCTGGCCCCGCGCCGCCGCAGGTGGGGCGCATGCTGGACTCGGTGTACCGCCCGCTGGGGCTGGGCGCCATGCTGGTGGTGCAGGACGTCTCCATCCTGCTCTCCTGCGTGGCGCTGGTGGCGCTGGGCGCGGGCGCGGCCGCCGGCGCGCCCGTCGCCTCCAGCCCGCTGTTTGGCCTCATGGTGGTGCTGGCCATGGCCGAGAAGCTGGCCTCCATCAGCTCCGAGCTGGCCATAGAGAGGGACTGGTACGCGGGGCGCGCGAGGGGCATGCCAAGGCCTGCATCGCATCACCTTCCCGCACCCGGCATGCACCACGTGCGTGGAAGGAGCCGGCCACCTGCATGCCTACCAGCCTTCCTCGCCCGGCCGCCCCCGCCTGGGCCCGCTCGCCTCTGCAGGGTGACCCAGCTGGCAGGCAAGCAGAATGTGCTGACGCTGGCGCGCAGCAACGCCTACCTGCGGCGGACGGACCTGTGCACGGAGCTGGTTGGCGCGCTGGTGTTTGGCTGGATCTACAGCTGGGGAGGGCTGGCAGCCAGCATGGCGTTCACCGGCGTGGTGGCGGCGGCGGCGGTGCCCCTGCAGCTCCTCTTCATCCGCCGCATCGCCGAGCTGGCGCCCAGCGCGATGCTGCACGGGCGGCAGGAGCCGGGGGCGGGCTGGGCGCGCGTGCCCAACTGGCGCAGCTTTGTCGAGAATGCGCGGCTCAGGTGCGTGGGCGCATCTTGCCCCGGACCGCTGTACTGGCTGGTCTCTGGGCTGCCATTGTCTTTTTTGCCGCTAAAGCCACAGCGGCACGCCCCTTACAATGCTGATCCCTGGTGCCCGCTGCTGCGCTCGCACTGCATGCTGCAGGAAGGTGCACGCGGCGGAGGCTGCGGCCAAGCGGCAGCCGCTGCTGGTTCGGGCGAGGGAGCAGGTGGCGCATGCGCTGGACGGGTGGAAGAGCTACTTCCGGCAGCCCATCCTGCCCAGCTCCCTCACCTTTGTGCTGCTCTTCTTCAACGTCGTGCTGTCGCCGGGAGGCCTCATCACGGCCTTCCTCACGCTGTGGGGCTTTGATGGCCGCGCCATGGCGGTCTTCCGCGGCGGCTGCGCCAGTGAGCCTCCCTGTGCCGCCCGCCTGGCCTGCTGCCTGGCCGCCTGCCGTCGGCCCTGCTCTCGGCCGGCTGCCTGCTGCTGCCCCTGTGCATGACGGGCCCCAGGTACTTCTGACTCAGCCCTGCCCCGCGTTCTCCTGCACTGCGCCCCCACCTGCAGCCTGCGGTTTCCTGGGCACCCTCGTCGGCAAGCGGCTGATCCAGACGCTGGGCCTGCTGCGCGCCGGCGCAGCGGCGCTGCTCATCCATGCCTGCCTGCTGGGCGCCGCCACCGTGCTCTACTGCACCCTGCTGTCCGGCCCGCCAGAGCTGGGCCCCGGCGGCCTGGGCGGCGGCGCACGGCAGCTGCTGATGGGCGCCGGCGCCGCCAACTGGCCAGCGCCGGGCGGCGTGGCACTGCCGGTCGTCATCTTCGCTGGTGAGCTGGCGTTGGCTCATGGCCCACACACTGCTGATTGCTTCTCTGTCGTGTGCTGCTCCCACAGTCACACACCTCCCACTGCCTCCAAGTTGTTGATGCCTCCCGCTCCCGTTCCCCCACGCTCTGCTCTCCCCCTTCCAGCCCTGGTGGTCATGTCCCGCATCGGTGTGTGGTCTTATGACATGGTCAACAGCCAGTTGTTCCAGCAAACAGTGGCACCTCGCGAGATTGCCTCGGCATCCAGCGCGGAGATGGCGCTGTGCAGGTGAGGGCGCTGCAGGGCGATCCATTCCTGGGCCCCAGGCTGCCGTTGCAGCCCAGCTCCCGCCTGCCCTGAAGCCGCCTGCCAGTGCGTGCCGCTCATTCCCCTCCCCTCCTCTTCTGGCTCGCCTTCATGCCAGCCACCCACCTGCCACCCTAACTGTAGCGACCTCCCTGCCCTCTCCCGCTCCCGCCCGCAGCTTCTCAGAGGTGTTCATGCTGGGCATCGCCGCGGTCACCGCCAACCCCCGCTCCTTCCCCATGCTCGTCTACGCCTCCTTCTCCGCCATCCTGGCCGCCAACCTGCTGTTCCGCACCTGGGCGCGCGGGGCCCAGCCATCCGTTGACCTGGCCATAGCCAACGCGGCCGCCACCTAGCTGGCGCCCACCTAGCTGGCAATTTCTTGCAGGCCTGGCTGTCGGTGCATCGCTGCAAACCGTGCCCCGCGACTGACGGCAGCCGCTGCGCTTGTTATGCTCTTCCTGCACGTTTATCATTGCAAGAGCTCAGTTTTACTACATTTTTTCTGGGCCAGCCCTGCTCTCGGCGTGGCCCTGCCGCTCTGCTGTTCTGTTCCACGCTCCGATATCTGCCTGTTAGCTTCTGTTTATGCTGCACTAAATGTTTACCTGCTCCCTCAACCCTTTATTCTTCCGATTGTAATTATGGCTTCAGCACTTGTGCCGTCGGCACACGGCTGTTCCTGCTGCACCGCCGCGTGCCATAGCCCGTTGCCAACACCCATGTGCCCCCCTCACTTCCGAGCCTGTATGCGTGTGTCTGTGTTTCTGCTTCTCATCTGCTGAGTAGCATTGGATTTCACGGGGGGCCTGGGCTGTACTGGTACTCCCCTTTGGCGGACATGGCGGCAGGAGGTGTACTGCTGGGTGCAGGCACATCACCACAAACCACCACCACCGCGCCAATCACGTGTCCCGGGCATTGCCTCAGTTAACAAATCGTTGCGTGGAAGCGGCTTCTGAGGGGGGGCGGGCACATGGCCTCGCCGCAGCCCTCTGGCAGCTTTCGCGGCCTCACGGCCTCAAAGGCTGTCAAGAACAATGTGGTGCTCCGGATAGCCTACGTCTCTGAGCGAGAGGGCAAGCTCTTCATTGCTGGCCCTCGGCTCGCGTTGGCCTTAGCCCTGGGCGTCTTGATTTGGGAGTTTTACGTGAAGCTAAAAGACGTGAGGAGGGCTGGGAGCGGTGGGAACGTCACCCACAGCCGAACCGCCATGTACGGGGGAGACTTGCCGCAGACAGTTTGAGGGCTCCAGCCTCCCTCCCTAAACTGCGTATGAGGGACCGCTGAGGCAGAAGGGGCGCCTGCAGAGCTGCCGCAGCTGCTGGGGCTACCTCCGCCGTGTGCCGCTCGCCCCGGCTCATGCCGCCGCCGCCACTGCCTATCGGTGTTTTCGGACATCACGCATTTCTATGCCGCCGCCGCCGCAGGACCCCAACCTGCTGCTCAAGGATAACACATACCCTGCCGTGTGCGCTCCGCTGGCGGCACTCTGTGTGGCAGCCATCCTGGCCACGCTGGGGCTGCTGTGCAAGCGCCTGCTGTGGTCGCGGGCCAATGGCTGGCGCTGGACCTCCAAGCAGAGAGCCTCAGGTCCGCCTCAAACGCCGGGGTCGTTCGACGCCATTTGAGTACAAGGTTGTGCTGGCATCGCCTGCACGTCACAGGACATGCAGTTGGTGGTTCGCTGCTGAAGAGTTTGGCATGGGTATGCTGCACAAGATGGAATGTCTGTCCCTGGTGAAACCGAGTCCCGCGCGTGTGTGTGTGTGTGTGTGCAGTGACCTTCACCACCGTGGCTCTCTGCCTGCAACTCGTCGGCGCCTCATCCTTCCTCTTCAACATGATCTGGATCTGGGTCAGGCTGTGCTCCTGGTTTGACACCCCAGGTGAGCTGCTGCACGCCGGTGGCATCTTCACGTCTCCTCTGCTCAAATGCTGCATCTACCCCCCCCCCCCTCATCCCCCTGCCCCTGCAGTCAGCGTGATGGCGGGGCTGCAGGACATCACCCTCAGCACGCTCTTCCTGCTGAACATCGCCCAGGCCTCGCGCCTGCTGCCCGAGGGCGCCTGGGGGTCGCTGCTGCAGGAGCTGCGCGGGCGCCTGGGGCGCAAGGGAGGCAAGGGCAAGGGAGCCAGCAGCGGTGCCGCCCTCAAGGCAGGCGGCAGCGCCGACGAGCCTGCTGGGCTGCCATCCACAGACGACGAAGACGCCGGCGCCACCCACCACCTGCTTGAGCGCGTGGCCCACTGGGGCGTGCCTCTGCTGGCCCTGCTGCTGCTGTGGGTGCCCACCCAGGCGGTCATCGGCCTGCTCATGGATGAGACCATCAACAACAGCCAGAGTAGGCAGCTGCGGGGCACGCCGCCACGCTGCTCTGCACGCTGCCAGCCGAATGCCGCCACAACTTCACATATGTTCGATCGCCAATTCAGAATGTACCCAGCTGCCCCCCAACCATGCCCCCTGCCCATTCCCCACACATACCCTGCGGCCCTCCTGGCTTCCCTGCAGGCGGCTGGGAGGGCTGGTACTGCGCCGATCTGTATGACCCCGCCTGCTGGCCCACCAAGGGCTGGAAGTGCGACAACATCTACAACGCCGCCTGCTGGCCCACGCCAGACACCTGCAGGGAGTGGTGCGCGCCGCTGCGGATGCGGTGCCCATGCAGGGGTGCGGGTGTACCGCAGCAGGGCGGCAGCCTGTGCCTGCCCAGGTGATTGGTGCCCGCCTCCCACCCAATGCGTAGGGATTGGCAGTGCAAGCCGGACTCGCGGGTGACCAACGTGACATGGGCGCTGGGTGCCATGATGAACATAATGAGTAGGTTTGGGTTGTGCATTGGCATACATGAGTTGACGAGGGGTGGGGATGCTTGGGGCAGGCGGGCAGGCAGCACTCCACCCAAACAGGCAGGCCAACTCAGCCCCCTGGTGGTGCCTGCATGGCCGTGCAGGCCTGGCGTTCCTGCTGCTCATGTGGCTGGCGCTGCACCAGCTGGGGCAGCGGGCGTACTACGAATACCGCATCCAAAACCTGGCGGCCCGCCTGGCGCTGCGCACCCGCGTGCCGACCTATGTGCTGTACACCGTGAGAGCTGCAGCGCCCTGCGCATGATGTGGCACGGGTGCCTTGGGCGCGGCAGTGTGCTGTGCAAGGGAACCTTCAAAGTGATGTTCAAGTCTTGAGTTGCGCGGTGGCATGCTGCCCCCCCCGCAGATCAACCTCCTGTTCTGCTGGTACATCCGCCTTGGCACCTGCACCTCCTACCTGACCACCTGGGTGGCCATGGCAAGTTGAATTGGAATAACTTTGCTTGTCTCTTTGGTGATTGTCTTATCCCCGTTAAGAAGACTAAGTAATTCTTCAAATTCACTAATAAAGTAAACCCTTTTTTTCAACGTTTTCACAGGCGCCCACGCAGGCAAGCCGGGGAAGGGCTGGGAGCGCAGCTGGGGCCTGGGGCAGGGTGCCAAGGCTGGTGTGGTGTGGCCCCCGCATGCGGGCCTGGGGCACCAGCCTCGATGACGGAATCCCTCCCGCATGCCGCGCCCCAGCCCACCCACCCGCCCGCCCGCCCCCTGCAGATTGCGATGACGGCCACAGTGGTGGTGGAGAGCCTGCTCTTCATGCCCAGCCTGCCCGACGAGGGCGCCACCAAGCTGCACGACAGCCTGCAGCAGTTTGCGTGGACGGAGCGGGGGGTGGCGCCGCTGGTGCGCCGCCGCGGCTTCCCCGCCGAGCCCTGCTTCTGCTTCGAGACCGCGCTCAAGGCGGCCTACGCGGCCCTGCACGTCTACCGCCACTTCAGGCCCGACAGCACCGAGACCTCCATCTCCACGGCGCTCGCCCTCTTTGGCGCCACCCACTACGAGTGGCTGCGAGAGCCGCGCCACGACTCCAACTGCCTGCTGATGTGGGGGCCGCGCTGCCTGGTCATCGCCTTCAGGGGCACCAGCTCCGCAGCAAACATCAAGGCAGACCTGAAGGTGTGTGTGGGGGGTGCTGCTGCCTGCCGGGGGCCTGCTTGGTTGAGTGGCACAAGCGCGGGGCACGGGCTCGAGCAGCGGCTGACTGGCTGGCTGGCTGGCTTTAGTGTGCCATCCACCATCCATGCGCCGTGCGTGCCAAGCGCTTGCCAGCCCTGCGCCCCCGCAGGCCTGGCGCACCCCGCACCCGCCCAAGCGCGGCTCCTTCTGGCTTGGCGAGATGCCGCTGTGCCACCTGGGCTTTGTGCAGAGCTGGCTGCAGGACGGGTTCAACGACAAGGCGAGAGGAAGGCTGGGGTGGCCGCCGCCAGAGCTGTCTGGGAGGCTGCGCGCCTCGATCTGCTGCTGGCTGGGTTGGGAGCATCATAGCATACAGTGCCCGCCCAGCTTCTTGCCCTCACCGCTGCCCCCGCCTGCCTTCTTCCCTGCCCTGCAGGTGCTGGGGCGCATCCGGGAAATCCTGGAGGGCCGGCCGCACTCCGGTATGGAGGCCGGCCCGGCCACCATCGACCGCTGCTGCGGCAGCGACGATGACAGCGGCGCGGCTGGCTGCGGCGGCGGCGTTGTGGAGGAGGACGGCACTGGCGGCGCCGCCCGGCCGGCGGCGGTCAAGGGCGAGGCGCCCTTCCGCATCCTGCTGGCCGGCCACTCCCTGGGTGCGTGCTTGCGTGCGGCAGGTGCTGTTGCCCGTGTCACATTTTTTCCCTGGCATGGGGAGGTGGCGCGTCGTGTTCTCAGTCGGTGCCGCCACATGCCGCACCTGGTGCATTATGCAACTTGCCCGCCTGCCCACCAGCTTGCATGCCTGCCCTGCCCTGCTCCTGCAGGCGGCGCCATGTCGCACCTGTGTGGCATCGACTTGGCCCGCGCCCTGCCCGGCTGGGGATTCCAAGTGGCTCCTGCCGCGCTGCCCCTCTCCGAGGCGGCCGCAGAGGCGGGGCCCACCGTCAGCCTGAGCACCTACACCTTTGGCGCGCCCCGCACCGGCAACCGAGCCTTTGCCAAGGACTATGCAGGTGAGGCGGCCGCCTGCTCGCTGCAGGGCCGCACTTCGAGCTGCGAGACGCCGCAGGCCTCGCCCTCGCAGAGCGGCGCTTGCCTTGACGCCCACCACCTGCACCCCCGCCCAGTGGCACCCTGCCAGCTGCTCACCACCTCTGCCTGCGTACATGCACTCACACACACACACACACAGCTCCTGCCTGCACTCCCACCTCTTGCCTGCCCGCCGCCCTTCGCAGCCCACATGCCCGACTGCTGGTCCATCATCAACGGCCAGGACGCTGTGGCCAACCAGGCCAAGTTCCTGGTGCTGTTCAAGCGCCCCGGCAAGCCCGTGCTGCTCAGCCGGCGCGGCGACCTCATCGTGCGGCCCAGCACCCTGGAGCACACCGCGCACCGCACCTCGGGCACCAGCCTGAAGCAGCACATGCTGTTTGGCTCCTACTGCCCCTCGCTGGCGGCCGCGCTGCGGGCGCAGCTGACCAACAAGCCGATGCCGGGGGGGCAGGAGGCGCTGGAGCACCTGCGGGAGTCGGAGGCCATGGTGCAGGTGCGGTACAGCGTGGTACTGCACGCATGGTACTGCCTAACACCGCATGATACTGTCTGGCTGCAAGGTGCTGCGGAGGGTGGCAGCTCCTCAATGCATGGGCGCGCTGCGTGTGCCGGGGCTTGTTTGCATGATTGGGCAGCAGTTGCGAAAGCAGGCGCGTACCCCGCCTGCCCATCCATCCTATCCCATGCACCTGCCCGTGCAGCTGCTGGAGCGCATGCTGGGCCTGGCGGGGCCTGACGGCACGATGGACAAGCCGCTGGACTCCAGCGACAAGTTGGAGGCTGTGAAGAGCGATGAGCTGGAGGTGGACTAGGCCGAGGGTGGCTTGCACTCGGGCACGGCATGCGAGTGTGCCGTGCCCTCCTCTGCCGCCACACATGTTTGTTGATGTTTATCCCAGCCATTCACGTGTTTTCCATGCACCCATGGTGTTAGTGCCACGGCCGCAGCTGCACATGTAGCTGTTTTACTCCCCTCTTCCTAGCCAACGGCTTTTGTTTCATTGCATTGTCACCTCGAATACTTCTGGTAAACAGCCGCGTGAATTCATTTAGCACCGAAATCTCCTTGCTGCATAATTAGCCCACTCTGGCAGCCATTTCATTCTTCTGTTGCTGTACTGAGATTGGAGTACTGCGCTGGCGTTCTGCCCATTTAATCACACCAGTGCTAACAGCTGCTGCTGCCTTGCGCCGGCAGAGGCCTCCCCGCCTTCCTGCCGATGCTGCTCCCGCTTCAGCTCCGCAGCGGCGCACTCCGCCTGCTCCAGCTGGTGCCACGCCGCCTGCTCCTCCACCTGCAAGCAGGCGGGCCAGGGGACCACTTGCCCAACATGCGCCTAACAGCAGTGCGAGCATGGGGAGCTGCTCCAAGCAGACGCACAACACATCACATAAAGAAAGGCCCCACCTGCAGCTCCCTGAGGGCCGCCAGCAGGCGCGGCTCCTCGCGCTGGCGCCGCCGCCGAGCAGCCTCGTACCGCCTCCGTACCTCTTCCAGCTGCGCGCAGGGAACAGTGCTAATCAGCCAGCCAGACCCTTGGGGAGGCAAGCGGCCACCCTGCTCGGGAGCCGCCAGGCTGTGCATATCGGCGGCATTGCAGGTGGTGGGCCGACACTGACCCGCTGCACTCAGCTCAGTCTCCCCCAGGCTGCCGGCCTGGCACGAGGGCACCCAGGTGCCCCCATACCGGCCTCACCTGCTGCCGCCCCTGCTCCGCCGCCGCGCGCCTGGCCAGCTCCCATGCCGCCGCCAGCATGACTGGATCATTCGGCGCCAGAGGGGGCACCTGCGGCATGCTTGCGTGGGAAGGAAGCAGAAGCAGTCATGGAGAGAAAGCAGGTGCTGCATCAACAGGCAGCAGCAGCTCTGGGACGCATGGCGTGTCCACTCGCGTGGGCCTGCCCAGCCCACCTGTCCTGAGCTCATGGCCTTGGGGCCCAGCCCCAGCCCCGCCAGGTAGGCACGGTTGGCAGCGATGCGCGCCTGGCGAGCAAGCTCCAGCGCCGTCAGAACCTGCGGGCCGGGGCGGCATGCCGGGGAGAAAGGCAGGTGTCACTTCCGGAGAGGCAGTGCAGAAGAGGCAGCCCAGTCTGTGCAGCAAAACCCCGCCAACGACCGCCTGCCCGCACACAGGCGCAGCCACCCACCTGGCTGTCGCCCCCTTCCTCGCTGGCCAGGCTGGCGTTGCGTGGCGGCAGCTTGACCAGCTCGTGAAGCGTGCTGGCACACACCACCTGGCAGGCCGGCGGCAGCAGGTGGGGCGGCACGCCAGGCAGCGCTGGCGCCTGGCACCCCGCCTGCCCTGCCTGCTGGTGCTCCTCTGCTGCCGGCCGGGGCGCGGCAGAGGGCTCAGCTGCAGAGGGCTCGGCTGCAGAGGGCTCGGCTGCCGCTACCGCTGCTGTGCCTGGCCCAGAGGGGAGCAGCCAGGCGAGCGGTGGCGGCGGCGCAGGCGGCGGCAAGGCCGTGCCAGGCGGCACACCCGGGGTGTCGCGGGCGGCTGGCATTGAGGCGGGATGCGAGAGCAGGGCAGCTGGGACTGTCGACTGCTCCTCTACCACCGAAGCTGCTGCTGCCACGGGGCTGCTGGGCCCGCTGCTGCGCCCGGGACCAAAGGCCCGGGCCTGCCGCCGCTCGCCTCGGGCTGCCACCGGCGTGTCAACAGCCGTGCCACCGCTGGCAGCCGCTGCTGCCCGCGGGGACTGGTGCGCCTGCGCCTCCTCCACGGCACTGCCAGGCTCGCCCTCCCCAGCCCCCAGCGCGCAGCAGCGTGCGGCTCCGCCCTCCTCCTCATCCCCAGACCCCGCCCAGTCCGCGCCGCGGGCGGCGTAGTGGCCCCCCACCGTCTCGTTCTTGGACAGCGGCGTCTGGCAGCTGGAGAAGGGCGGCCTGCGGGCGGGGGGCGGGCGGGCAGCCAGCAGCCAGGCAGTGCTTCACACCACCACACACATATAAGCACTACCGCAGTCACACACAAACATGCCTCCCCTGCCACTACTCACACACACACACACACACGCCTCCACCACCACCACCATCACAAACACACCTCAGCATGGCGCAGTTCCACTCGGTGTCGTCCCCGATCTGCTGCGCCGCTCGGAAGTCCACGATACGCCACTTGGAGCAGGCGGTGCACTGCACCCAGTGGTCGCGATGGTGCTGGTCGGCATACACGCGCAGGCGGTCCAGCAGGGCGAAAAACTCCCGGGTCTGGGGGGGCAAAGGGGGGGGGGGGGAGGGGGCGCAGGCACAGGGTTGCAGGTTGGTGGCAGGTTGGCTGGGCAGTGTTTAGTGGTCCAGCGTGCGAGCGGCTCATGCCCCAGCGACCTAGCACAGCAGCAGTGCGTCGCCGCCGAGGCCCGGCAGCAGGCGCCCCAAACGGGCACAGGGCAACGGTAGGCACCCCCCGCGGCGCAGCCGTCCCCCGCCTGCCTGCATCATGTCTCTGTCCACCGGAATGTTGGGCTCACCCATGCCCTCAAAGGCGTCGTAGAACCGAGAGTAGAGCTCCCTGCAACACCAAGCAGCGGCAGCAGACCAGGCGCCTCTCCTGGTGCTTGCCGCTGGTGGGGTGCCGGGTGGCAGACAGGGTGCCGTCCCTCCGCTCCGACGGACCCTGCCCCGCTGCACACCACACCCACCGGCTGCCTGCCCCCCAGCCCACACACTCGCCTGACGTTGCTCTTGGCGATGCAGAACACCGCAATCCCAAAGCCTGCCCAGGGGGAGGAGCGGCACAGAACGCAAGCAGGTAGGCCGGCTTGCGCGCTCCCTCGCATCGCCGTTGTCACCCAGGCGTTGCCCTCGCGCCGCCACCCAATCATGCGTGCCTTGCCCCCACTTACCCCACACGCGCACACACTGCAAATTCACACCTATCTACTACCCCACACCCATCACCACCCACCAGCCACACCCACACACCACCCACGCCCCACCTACCGATGGGCGTCTTCTCGTAGTCCTTGAAGCGCGCGGACAGGCGGCGCAGCAGGACGCGCGGGTAGGGGCGCAGGCGCTGGAAGTAGCCGGTGTCTGTGGAGTTGCGGCACACCAGCACCACGGCCGGCACCCCGCCGTTCTCCACCTCGTCGATGGCGCGGTTCACAAAGCGCCACTGCACCTGGGCGCGGTAGTCGGGGTTGAGCAGCACGTACCGCCCCTGCCAGCTGTTGCTCAGCTTCAGGCCGTTGTCCTGTGCGGCACGGGGCTCGGGGGGGAGGGGGAAGGAGTCGTCGCGGGGGTGAGGGGCCAGGGAACAGCTTCATGCTTGAGAGCGAGGAGGGGCCACATCTGCCACCCGCAAGTGCCTCACATGCTGGGTCCCCTCCAGATCCGCCCATCCCCTTGCCCGCCCTCTGCCTTTGCCCACCTGCACTTCCACCGCCCCTGTTAAGCACGCCGCCATCCCCCACCTACCCCATACACCCACCTGCTTGTCGTACAGGCTCTCTGCCGGGATGTTGGGGGCCAGCTTGGAGTTGGTGCAGGGGTCCAGCAGGCCGGCGATGTAGGGCCGCTCCGCGGTGGGGCGCTCCAGGCCAAACACGCGGAACGCCGCCGCCTCCTGCAGGGCGGCGACGGCGGCGTGGTGCACAAGTGATGCACAGGAGGGAGGCGGTTACTGGCTGCTGCTGCTGGCACCCAAATTATAATATCTGCAAAGCTGATGATCTGGATACGCCTTTCGGCGGATCCCCGTCAGCCCAGCCTCGACCCAGGCGCCCGGCTGGCCAGCTCACCACAATCCAATCAGGAGTGAGCCCCATCCTCTCTATCTCTCCATCCACCTCGCCGCCCTCCCCCTCCTCCCGCACCTTGCCCACCTGCGAGGCGGCAGCAGCCATGGCAGCAGACGTGAGATCTGGACCAGAGCCCACCGCCTCGCTGGATGCCGCCCCCCGTGCTGCAGCTACCACACCCCACCCAGCCCCACGCCATGCCCACCTCCTGCTCCTCCCCACAGCATGGGCAGGCCCAGACGCCGCCGGGCAACTCCGCGCTGCTGACGGCGGGGTGGTGCAGGCAGAGCGGGTGGAACAGGCGGTCGCAGCACGCGCACTCCAGATCCGCGCCCAGCTCCCGGCACCTGCGGCGGCAGGCGTGCCCGAGGAAGCAGGCAGGGCAAGGCAGGCGGCAGGCAGATGTATCAGCGGCGTGCAGCTGTGCCGCACATGGAGCGAGATGGCTGCAGCCAGGCGTGGCAGGACACACGGCAGCCGGGGGCGGCGCCCTCCCTGCTGCGCCTCACAGGTAGCAGGTGTCCAGGGCCTGCCGAGTCTGGAGGTACGCCTCGTACAGCTGCACCATGCGCCGCCGCTCCAGCTCCGGATCTGAGCGGTGGGTGGCGGCGGGAGGCGAGGCGGGGGTCGCGGGCAGGGGAGGAGGAGGCAGAGGCAGCGGAGCGCACGGCAGGCGCTGGCGCCGCACCCGGGTGTGCAGCCTCCAGCTCGCTGAGGGCCAGCTCCAGCAGCCGCATCCTGCACACACAGGCGGGTGTGGCAGGACGTCGCTCGAGTCGACTACTCAGGGACAGCTGACACTGTCAGCCGCCTCGACGCCACGGCAGCCATTGATGACGCCGGGTCCCGCACCCAAGCAGGCGTGCACGCACTTGTTGTGCTGGCGGCCCGCGGCCCGCAGCTGGCACAGGTGCTCGCCCTCGTCGGGCGGCGGCAGCTCACAGTCCTCCTCCCTCACCCACATGTTGCTGTGCTCGCCGTAGAAGCGAACCAGCAGCATGCCTGCGGGTGCGTGTGCGCGTGCTGAGCCGGCCCCGTGGGTGGCAGCAGCATTGACGGGGGAGCAGGATGGGCAAGCGCTCTTCACATGGCCCAACCCGGCACTTGGATCCATGCCAAGAGCGCAGCCATGATCCTGTCATAGTCAATGCTGATGCCACACAGCAGCCCGCCCAGCACACAGCACAGCAGACAGGCAGCACAGCGCGGCTCGCCTGGGCGGTGCGACAGCAGCAGCTGGCCCCAGTCGCGGCGCTTGCAGAGGGCAAAGGCCCAGGCCACGCCCGGCCACAGCCCGCTGCCGGCCACCCGCACCCAAAGGCGGGTGCCGGGCGGAAAGCGCTCGCTGGCTGGGGCCGCCTCCAGCTGGCGCAGCCGCTCCTGCAGCGGCGGGCCGTGCAGCGGCGGCGCGTCCGGCGCCCTGCTCCAGGGCAGGGCAGCGCGTATGTGAGCAGAGGGCAGCAGAGGGGCCGGAGAATGCACCAACAACACTGCTGTTCAGCATGGCAATCACCGCCGCTGACATGCAACCACGGACGTGGCGACCAGCCAGCCTGCCGCCCACCTCTTGGCTTTCTTGGGGGTGCGCTCGCGGTCCAGCGAGGCCCAGCGGGGGATGGAGTAGTTGACCCCCGCAGCCCGCGCCCACTCCTCCTCCTTGCTCCTGGCCGCCACCTCGCGCTTGGGCCGCCCGCCTGTGCATGAACGTGCAGGGATGAGCAGCATGGCGCAGGGTCGGCAGGCCAATGGCAGGCGATTGGGATCAGAAACTGCATTGCAGCACATGTTGTGTGCTGCAGCAGGCCTGTTGCCGCACCAGGGCTAGTGTACCTTTCTTGGCCACCACAAACTGCGCCGCCTGCTCCACCGGCAGCGACAGCTTCACCTTCTTCGTCTTGGTCCCCTCCACCAGGAAGTCTGTCATCTGGATCACAGCCAGCGGGTAGCCGCCCGGCACTGCAGGCGGCTCCACCCGCAGGATCACTCCCTGCAGGTTGGTGGCGGCGGGTGGCTGGTGCCGGTGGCGGGTGGAGCTGGCTGGGGCGCCCCCCCTCGCAGTCCAGCACCCGTGCCTGGCGTAATTGTGGCTCCATCTCCGACACCCCGGGACTCACGTGGTGCTTGCCAGCGCACTTGTGGGCATGGGGCAGCAGGTCACCCGGCAGGAGAACCTCTCTCCTCGCCAGCCCCTTCGTCTTGCTTGGCATGACTCTGTGATGCAAGATTTCCGCTTGGCTTGCGTGCCTGTCAAAGTCGTAGAGAACCCTAGTCGCGACCGGGACACAAGTAAGCGGAGAGCGAGAGTCCTGGCCCGGAATCAGCAGGGTTTTACTGGCGGATTACACCGAGACGGCGGCAGGGCCTGCTGCGCCGACTGTTACCTGCGATGCAGGACGCGTGGGCGGGACGGGTGGCCGCCTGCAACCGCCCCTACGGTCACAACCCCAAAACGCACCATCTGATGCTTGGAGGTGTCACAGTTTAGAGACATCTCAACCAAAACAGGAAAATTGTGGGAGACGCATGGGAGTCTCAACTCAAGTGCTGCATTTTGCCAGCGACGAACAGCAGTGCATGCTTGAGAAGACGGCAAGAGAGTGTTCAATAAAAACTGGAGGAAAAAGGAATGACACGGGGTGCTTGTTGGGTCAAGAGGTTGCCGGCGACGTGCTTCCCTTCAGTTTGCCAGGGCAGGCTCTGCCGCCGCCGTGGCCGCCGCCACTCGCCGCTCCACCGTGCACTTGAGGCCGTTTGCCGTGTGGATGGTGGCCCCCGTGGCCATGCCAACCTGCCCAGAGTCGGGCAAGAGGCGCACGTCAGCGGCACCGGGGAAGGTGCCTCTCTCCAACTCCCTGCTTCCCGCAGCTGCCTGGGAGTCTCCTGCCTACCACCACCACCACCAAACACAAGACTCACACCCACAAACAGACACGCCGCCACACACCCCCTCGCCCGCCCGCACGCACCCCCTGCGGGTCCTGCAGCCTGAAGCGGAAGCGGCGCAGCAGCATGACCAGGATCAGCGCTGCCTCGGTGACGGCAAACTGGTCGCCGATGCACTTGCGCGCGCCGCCGCCTGCGGGGGGAGGGAGGGCGGGGGCGGAGGGCAGGGTGGATGCCTGCCAGGCGCACAGCGGCACACACACATGGACGACCACCACCAGCGACAGCATGGCAGCTGCAGGGGTCTGCCCAATGCAACGCCACGCGTGGTCCCAATCTGGACACCCGCATCGGACTGCTGCGGGCGCAGCTGGCTGGCCGGCCCGCGGGCGCACCAAAGGGCAGGAAGGCAAAGTCGGAGGAGACTTCGTTGGGGTAGAGGGAGGAGCCCTCCCCGCCGGGGGTGTACCCAGCCCACTTGCCGCCAAACGCGGCGTTCACAAACCGCTCTGCAGGGCAGGCGGCAAGCGGGGCGGGCAAGCGGGGCGGCGTCAGTGGCGGCACCAGGAGCCAGCAGCAGCAGCGCGGCAGAGGGCACCATAAGCATGCGCCGGCAGCTGCTGTTCGGGCCCCAGAGGCGGCGGCAGGCTGCCAGGCGCAGGCGCAGGGGCCGGGAGCCCACCCCCCAACTGGCCTGTGAAGCGCTCTGGCCGGAAGGTGTCCGGGTCCTTCCACAGGTGGGGCGACCTGCCAGGGCGGGCAAAGGGAGCGACAGCACAGGTCATGAGCAGCCGCGGGCGCCGGCTGCTGGCGGAGAGAAGCCGGGAGCAGAGCGGTGCTGGGCGCTCCTGCAGGAGCTGCTGCCGCACCCCACGTTGCAAAACGCGGCGCCTCGCCACATCCGCACCACCCCTCTGCGCCCACCTGTGCAGGTTCCACAGAGAGATGAACAGGTCTGCGCCCTTGCCGATGGGGTAGCCATTGGGGTCGCCGCCCAGCCCGGCAGGCAGCACATCCTCGCCCAGCGCCCTGCAGGGGGGTGGGGGGGAGAGGCAGGGGTGTGTTGCGGCAGTGGATTGGCGGGTGGCAGTTTGCGGGAGACCTCGGGCTGTGACGAGGTGCGCCTGCGCGGCAGAGGTGTGCCTTGGCAGCGACCAAGCTGCGTGTTTACCCTGCCCACCCCCACCCCCACCCACCCGCCCACACGCCTGCCCGCCTCCCTCCCTTCCCAACACAAATCACGCACACCCGCACCCAGCCTCCAGCGCCCGCTTGCCTGCGGATGAGGATGGGCGGCTGCGGGTACAGGCGCATCGCCTCTGCGATGGTCATGCGGGTGTAGGGCAGGTTGGCAAAGTCGTCCCAGGCTGCGCGGGTTGGGAGGGAGAGTGGAGGAAGGAGGGATGTCAGCATGCCGGCAGGCCCCGGAAGCAGGGGTGGGAGCGGCCAGTCGCCGCGGCGGCGCTGCGTGTGCCCCTGGCGCCACACACGCGCAGGCACAGCACCAGCACCACCACCCAGCCATGCCCCTGCACCCAGCCGCCTGCCACTCACTAGGCACACGGTCCCCCACCGCCGCATCAATCTCCGCCAGCACCTTGCCCTCCACCCGCTCATCCTGCACCACGCAGAACAGCGTCCAGGTGCAGACAGCCGCCGTCGTCTCGTGGCCTGCGCTAGGGAGGCGGCAGGCCGGGTAGCAGCGCAGGGCAGCCGTCGGCCGAGGCGGCGCGGCCAGTAAATGCCGGGCGAGGCACCCAGCCAGCCAGCCAGCCAGCCACCCACATGCCACACACACAGGCGCAGGGCAGCGGCACGCCGCCACTCGCCCGCGATCAGCATGGTCATGAGGTCGTCCCGCATCTGCTTGGCCTCCAGGTCAGCGTCTCGCATATCCACCAAGAACCGCAGCAGGCTGGCGTCCTTGACCTGCGCACGGAGAGGCAGAGGCAGAGAGGAGGGCGTGTGTGTGTTGGGGGCCGGGGGTGGGGGCATGAGCGGGCTCGCAAGCGCAAGGCACGGCGGGGGACAGGCACATGCGCGCGGCGAGCGGGGAGGCGGGCAGGCACCGCTCGCCTTGGAGTAGTCTCGGGCCTGCAGCGCCTCGATGTCGCCTGCCTCGCGAGTGCTCTTGGCCTGCGCTTGGCAGCGGGCGGCGGGCGGTTGGGCGACATCTCGAGGGATGGGGGCCAGGGGGCAGGACAGGGACCGCGGCTTGCTTCCTGCCGCCCCCGCCCCAGCCCGCATGCACAGCTGAAGCCGGGCCGCCTGGCTCCGGTTTCAGGGGCGTGTTGGTGGGTGCACGTGGGCAAGCCGCCAGCTGCCCTGCTTGCCTGCTCGATGAGCTGGTTGAGGCACTCGTTGATCACCGCCAGGTCAGCGTTGAATTGGCGCTGACGTGGCACTGCGGCACGACATTCAGGGCGGGAAGACGGGGCAGGGCAAGCACATCAGCAGCATGGTCCCGACGGCAGGCTTGGCTACGCGCAGCTCGGTCCCTCGCCCCCTGCCTGCCCCACTGTCCCATGCCCCTTTCCTGCTTTCTTCCCCACGCTACCTTCCCGCCCCACCCACCCAGGTACTTTGTGAGCGGCAGGTTCCAGTAGGGAATGTAGAAGGTGGAGCGGTGCTCAGCCTCCTTCAGCACCCCATACACCGCCTGCAGCAGCGAAGAGGAGCGGCAGCCGGGGCAGGGCAGGCCAGGGCAGGGCTGGGTCGGCACGCCCGACGCCGCGCCCAGGCCATGCCAGCGCCCACGCGGCGCCTCACCCCCTGTGCCACCCCGCGCTACGCCCTCCCCACCCGCGCCGGCGCCTGCCAGCCCCGCCTCTCTGCTGCCCCCTGCCGCCCCCCCTGCCCCTGTATCGCAAGCTCCTCTGCAAGCAAGCCCCTCTGCGGACATGCAGGCCGTAAACACAGGAAAGCAGGGGCAGGGCTGCCCCACCTCGATGACGGGGGACTCTGAGGTGATGGAGCCAAACTCGTAGTTGAAGACCCCCAGGCCGATGATGTCCAGCCCCAGGTTGAGGAACTCAGTCTCCATGTCCAGCACCGCGGCCCCCTGGCTGCCGTCGGGGGCAGGGGAGGCCGCCGCCAGTGCCGCCTCCACCTTGTCCACCGTGTGCTGCGTGCAGCGCCCAAACATGGCCACGCAGGCGTCCAGGTAGGCCTTGTGGAAGCCTGCGGGGGGGTGGGGCAGGGGGCAGGGGGCGGGCAGCGTGGGAGGGTGAGATAAGGGGCCAGGGCAGGGGTGGCAGAGGGGCGAGGGAGAGGACGAGCAGGAGGAGGGGAGGGGGTGAGCAGAGGCGGGGGAAGGCGTACCTGGCACGATGGCACGCCGCCGCACTTTCCAGGTCTCGAGGTCGGCGGGGATGAGGCCCTGCGGCGGCAGCAGGGCGGCAGGGGGCGCAGCGGGGCGCGCTCTGTGGCGGCGCGGCAGGCCTGCTGCCAGCTGGGTACCGAAGCAATGTGCAGGCCACTACACCACCCGCGCCACTGCCTCAACCCCAACAGCTAAGACAAGGCTAAGCCGCACCGCCCACCTTGCCCATGATGGGCTCCAGAATCTCCGCCAGCACCCCCTTGTCGTAGTTGGTGTAGTTCTCCTGCGCCACAAAGGGGGGCAGGGCAGAGGGGTAGGGGGAGAAGAATGGAGGGGATGACGGGGAGGGCGCGGTGAAGAAAAAAGAGAGAAAGGGAGGGGTGAGGCCTGGACGAGGCACGGCGCAGGCGGTGAAGGAAGTGCGACGAAACAGAGGACTGCGGCAGCCCGTGCCACACAGCAAGGCGGCCTTGGCCAGTCACCTTGAGCAGGTGCCGCACCACCAGCGGGTCTGATATCACGATGAAGGCCTTGGGCCCAAACTCCAGCTTGAACACGCCGCCGCTCTCAATGAACCTGGGGCCAGGCAGCGGGCCGTGTGGTCGGGCGCAGGGGTGAGGCAACACCAGCGGGTTGTGGGGCAGCCACCGCCTGCCGGGAGACGCCCGCCAGCCCACCAGGCCTGGCCAGCCTGCAGCCGACTTGCGACCAGGGTCCCGCCCTGCCCTGCCCTTCTGGCACCGTGCCGTCGAGCCCTGTTCATTGCTTTGGTTCAGCTGCCCTCCAGCTCACCACTTGTACAGCGCCTTGAACAGCGGCTCGTCTCCCGCCAGGTCAGACAGCTCGCCCTGCGCCACCGGGATGTTCTTGCCGCCCACATCGGGCTGGAAGTAGCCCTGCAGGACGGCAGGGAAGGAGGGAGGAGGTAGGTAGGTGGGGAGGGAGAGGCAGGGTGGAGGGCAGGAGCCACAGCGGCAGTCGGCAGCAGCAGGGGTGGTGGCTGGCGGGGGCCGCGCTGTGCACGTCCCAGCCCCATGCCCACCTGCGACACGTCTGTCAGCAGGCGGCTGAGCCCGTCGGTCAGGTTGCCCTTGCCCTTGATGTAGGCGTAGATGAGGGCTGCCACGCTGGGGGAGAAGAAGATGGCCAGGCCCACCAGTGTGTCGGTGGACAGAAAGGCCTGGGTGGCCACCAGCCGCTGCTGCTGCGGCCGCTGCCGCTGCACGCGGCGGGGCTGCGGGTGGTGGCGCAGGGGCGCCAGCGCGAGCGCCCGCCCCGGCAGGGGCGCCCGGCACCCCGGCATCGCCAGCTTGGGGGCAGCTGCTAGGGCCTGCATCGCCAAGGAGTCTCGGGGCAGGAGGCTACTTGTTGGCGTGCATTGACGCTTTACGGGCCCTAGTCAAGCCGCGGAAGCTGCGATGTTGCCAGGACAGCGCGCACGGCACTGCAATCGCGGGTGGGCACGCAGCTCATCCAAGCCGGGGTACCGCGGCTGTACTGCCGCCACATGGAAACCTCAGCAGTCTTCACCTCGGATGCTGATTACAGGCCCTAATGCGGGACTGGGCCAGCTAGGTCAAGCACAAGGGATCCAGGGGCCAGCACAAAGCAGGCAAAGAGAGGAGAAACGAATTGGCGGGGCCACGGCAAGGGCGGTGGGGGGATGTACAAGGAGAGGCCTCTGCAGACACGAAAGTGTCGTCAAGATGGAGTCAGCGATGCGCTGTGTCATAATTAGTTGAGCAGTTTGGGGGCACGAAAATGAAAGCAGAGCAGACGGCCGTCTGGAGGCGTGTGCCGTCAAAACTGGGCGGGTCGCAAACCGGTGCGAGGTCCGGGCTGCAAGGCCACTGCCCTCGGTCTGTGCCGCATGCCAGGCAGGGCAGTGCAACGCCAGGTCACAGATGCTAGACCTGCTGATGACCGCCTCATTACGAGATACACCAGGGCTGGGGTGGCTAGAAGTTGATGAGGCGGTACTCGCAGTTGCGCATGTGAGAGGGCTTGGTGCCACGGCACACCTCCTCAAAGCTGCGCCAGTAGCTGCTGTGGCCCACCGCCACTATCACAGACTCGGGGCGGTCCTGCAGCCAGCGCCGGAAGGTGCTGATGCGCGACTGCAGGCAGGCAGGCAGAGACGGTACAGGCTTTGCTCAGTTGGTGCCCCTCGAGCGGCCGCCACGCTTAACTGAATGCCGACTCTTGAACGGAAGGCTGCTGAACTGAACCCCATTGCCAAGCAGCGCACACTCTGCCCAGCTACACACCTGCCTGGCCACCTGCCCAGCCAGCCAGCCAGCTCCCCAGGGCTCACCATGACCTGCTCTTTGGTCTCGTGGCTGCCAAAGCACTTCTGCAGCGCGCAGTTGGGCTTGTTTGCGGGGCAGTGCCACCACAGCTCCGGCAGCACCGCCAGCTGGCTGTCCAGCTGGGGGTAGCGCTTGCGCAGCTCGCTGGCAGGGTGGCCAATGTCGCCGCAGGTGAACACCTGCGGGCACGCAGCAGCAGGCGCAAGCACTTGGAGGCCAAACAGTAATGCAAGAGTACAGAGGCACTGCCAGAAGCATGTCGCTGCTCTGCATTTCCAGCTCTTGTCTAATGCAAGAAAGCAGCCAGCGGCTGGCAACAACCCACCTTCTCGGTAATCGACTGCAGCACTATGACCTTGGGTGCCGGTTCATCGCCGCCGTTGGGCGCCGCTGAGCTGTTCTCAGCACTGCCATCGCCTGCGCTGGCGCCCTCGCAGCCGCCGCTCTGGGCCAGCAGGTGGGCAGTGGGGCAGGCCAGCAGCAGCGTCTGCATCGCGCGCTGCAGCGGCGACGTCAACCACAGCGTGTCTGGCGGCAGGTCCAGCGCTGCCAGCTGCTGCCGCAGCGCCCGCGCCTGCTGCTTGCCGCGGTCCGTCAGCTGCGCGTCAAAGATCTGAGGGTCTGCCCAGCTGGAGCCACGTGCCTGCATCGCCGCGTTGTATGCCGACTCGCCGTGCCGCACAATGTACAGCCTCTTCAGGTTGTCTCGACGGCGGAACATCGGGAACATCTTCTGGCCTGCTGGCATTGGGTCAGGCATGCCAGAAACTTGAAAAAAAACGCCTCTACTCAGCGCCACTCAACTGCCTTTGGTACGCAGGCTGGTATCAATGAGGCATGGGTTGAGGGCAGGGCAGACACGCAGCGGCAGCACGCACCAGAAGGGCCCACACCATCACACTGCACCCGCTCTGATGAGTGCAGCGCTGGCGTGGTTTTGTGGCTGGCAGCAGACACGCCCGAGGCTCGCCGCAACGCATCTTCCTGCTGCTGGTGCTGCGACAAAAGCTGGCTACTGGGCCAATCCAGCCCATCGTCACCATCCTCCTCCTCTGCTGCCGCCGCTGCTGTGGCGGCAGGGCGTCCCACAGCCGCCGCCGGCTGTGCCCCCTGCTGGCTGCACGGCAGCAGCTGTGTCTGGGTGGCTTGCTGGCTAGTGTCTGCAACACCAGCAACCAGGCCAGCTGTGGCCTGGCCAGCGGGCGCCTCTGAGCCAAGCTCTGCCGGCCGCTGGCTAAGGAAGGTGGGCTCATAGGTTAGCTGTGAGAAAATCTGAAAGCCATCTTCTTCCTCCTCCTCTTCGTCCTCCTCTAGTGCGGCAAGATGCTGCTGCTGCTGTTGTGGCTGGTTGCTATCGCCCGCAGCCCCTGCGAGGCCCGCCGGTGTCTCCAGCGCCTGCTGTGTCGCAAAGCGGTGCTGCAGGCTGCGCAGCAGTCCCGTCTGCAGCTTGGCGCCTGCTGCAGTGGGCGCGGTGAACTGCGGGCCGGAAGCAGCAGCAGCGGCCGCGGCCAGCAGGCCCACTGCCGGCGTCTGGCTGGGCAGCTGGTCTTCTGGCTCCTCGCTGCTGTCGCGCAGGCTGTCATCCTGCGCCCGCGCCTGCAGATACCAAGAGGGAGCGAGCAGCAGCAAGGGCAGGACGCTCTGCATGCTTGCTGCCAGCAAGCGGGCACAAGGATGACGGATACTAGCGCCGAGCATGCAAGACGGCCTCACCAGAGGCGGCGGCGCGGGCTGCAGAAACTGCTTGATGCTGTAGGTCTTGTGCCGCTTTGCGCTCCTGTCATCATTTGGGCCCCGCCTGCCCGATAGCCGGCTCTTCTTGCCGCTGCTCTTGCCGGCCATCGTGCTGACCGCGCCTGCCGTTGGTCGTTGCTGCAGACGGCGAGGACGGTGCGCTGCTACCGGTGTCTATCACTCATGCCGCTCCCCAGAATGTCTTGAGGGACTGGCCGCCAAGGTTTCAGAAGAGTCTTGCGGCAACTGGGTCAGGGTGGAGAGACAAGCAGGTTGGTGACGTTGCGGACTTCAAAACGCAAGGTGCGTACCGATGTACAGGCCCCGCAGAGCCTCCAGACCGCAAAATCCTCCACCCTGTGCTGGGTGCTGCGCTCTCTTGCGGCCCGAATTCAAGCTATAGCTGCCTACCATTTCCCGATTGATTTCAAGTGCTGCCTTGACCCCCATGGAGGCTTCCCCAGAGTCCCCGCAGCAGGCCTCTGCCCAGGTGCAGGCAGATGCCGCAGCGGGCGGCTGGAAGCCTGGTCCTCCTGCTGCAACACAGGACCTGAAGCCGCAGCAGCCAGAGGATAGAGCGCCTGCAGAAGCGGGACAGGAGCTGCTGCCAGAGGCTGCAGGCGGGGCACCAGCAGGCGGAGCCAGCCGAGCGGACAGCGAGGAAGACGAGTTTGATGCGGAGCTGGGCTCGTGGCTGGCGGGCAGGCTGCAGCGCATGCAGCCGGGCGCCGAGCTGACGGTGGGCAGCGTCAAGGTGCTGGGGCGGCTGCTAGATGAGATTACAGCTCGGGTGCTGGAGGAGGCGCGGCGTGTCAACAGTGGCGAAGCGGCGCCGGGCAAGACAGCGGCAGCGGCGGCGGGCCAAGCAGGATCCGCTGCAGCCCCTGCAGCTGCAACGGATGCAGAAGCTGCCCCTGCAGCGGCGGCAGCGCAGCCGCAGGAGCGGCGGGGCAAGCAGCAGAAGATGACTGCGCTGACGAGTCTGGACATTTCCAAGGTGCGCGCTAGAGGCATTGGGAATGGCAGTGTCAAGGGCCCAGCCATGTGCACCTGGAGCCGCAATGGATGGACCGTTTCCATTGCCTTCATTTCTTACACTGACACGCCCTGCTGACATGCTGCAGGCCCTGAAGCGCGTGCTGCCTGGGGAGCCAGCCAGCAACAAGCTGCGGCCCTACCTGCCAGCCGTCACCAAGCAAGCCTGGCACCTCGACAAGCAGTCGCTGAAAGGCATCAAGAAGCAGAAGCAGGCCGCAGCGGGCGCAGCGGCAGAAGAAGCCTGCGCCAGTGGCAGCAGCAAGAGCAAAGAGAACGAGCAGCGGCAGCAGCAGCAGCAGATGGACGCGCTGCCCTGAGGGCCGTCGGTGGAGAGTTTTCATTGCAATAATCTTGAAGCGTGCAGTGCTGTAGCATGTGAAAGATACAGTTTTAACAAAAGAATAAGAAAATGGAGGGAGAGAGAACGAAGTAGCAGTGCTGGGGAATCACAAAAAGAGCTGGGCGGGCAGTTGAACGCAGTGGCTGTTTGTCGGCTGGCTGGCCGCTACCGCATGCTGTGCCACTTGGAGTGCCGAGTGCGGTGTAGTGCTGCGCCCACTGCCGCCTCCACATCGTCCACCACCACCTGGGAGCAGCATCAGCAGCCGGCGGGCGCAAACAAGATGAGTGGCGACGGGTGGAAGGGTGGATGTCGGCAGAGGGCCGCCAGGGCAGGCACAGATGCATCGGGCTACCAGCCAGCCAGATTTGCACAGCAACAATGCAAACGCAGGGGCGGGCCCCGGGCTTGCCTGCGCGGGGTCGATGGCGCAGTTGCCGCGCGCCACCCCCGTCTGGGTCACAAGCACCGACACCCAGGGCGCGCCCGCCGCGTTGGCGCCCCGCACATCCGCAGCCGGGTTGTCGCCCACGGCAAAAATGGCTGAGAACGGCGGCGGCGTGCGCGCCAGCTGGCCGCTGTGGTGCACGCCTGCCCCCGCGCCTGAATCAGCTGCTGCCGCTGAGGTGGCCGCCGCTGGCAGCTCCAGACCCAGCGCCTCTGCCTGCGCCAGGAGCAGCTGCTCTACCAGCAGGTACGGCGCCAAGTTGGGCTTGCCAAAATAGTGGGCCTGCAGCGGCTCGCCGGGGACCTGCAGAACAGCAGTACGGGGATGCATAGCGCCAGAGCCGGGCAGAAGAGGCGCGCCCAACACTCCTCCACAGAACCCTAGTTCCATGATCGCCCTGCTTGGGCGCCTGCCGTGGCTCCACGCCCCCCGACCTCCCTGGCGGCCCCCCTCCGAGCCCCTACCTTTTTATAGATTGCCCTCAGGGGGGGGGGAAAGGGGCCCTGGCCAAAACCCGGCGCGGCTAACTCCTTGGCCCCTTGCCGAACGGGGGTTGAGAGGGAGACCCTCCCGGGGAGGGGGCCGGGGGGGGGCGGGGTGGCCCGGGGTGCCGCGGGACAGCAGCACATCGACCATCAGCTGCAAGTCTCTGCAGCAGCAGCAAGGGGAGGGGGGAGAGCAGCCACAGCAGCGGAAGTAGGCAGATGCAGCAAAGCAGGCCGCGTCACCCAAGGGGAGCATGCAATGCAGGCCCGTAGCCGCCGGGTGATGGTGCATGGCAGGAACGCCATGAGAGGTGGCGGTCGCGGGGCAGCAGGCATCGTGCTTGCCTGTACCACGATGCGGGGTCTGTAAACACCATGATCGCCCTGCACAAGAGTGAAAGCAGCCGAGGTTGGTGCCCCCAGGAGTGTGATCCCAGCTGTTTGCGGTGCTGCTGCGGACCGCCCCCTGCAAGCCCCGCCTGCCCTGCCTTTGCATGTGTTCCCATGTGCTGCAACCAGGCCATCCAGCCCGCCCAACCTGATGGGGTCGTGCTCCGAGCCGAACTTGAGCTCCCGTGTGTAGCTGGGAAGGTCGCCGCCAGGCAACATACCCTGGTCCTCGCTGCAGGCAGGCGTGTGGTGCGGGTGGGGGCAGACGTTGTGCAAGCCAACCCAGGCAGGCAGGCAGGCGGGCAGGCAGACATGCGGCTGCGCCAGCGGCGGCACCAACTCACTGGAAGGGCACGGCGGCGGGCATGGCGCGCGCCAGCTGCTTCGTGGTGACGACCTTCTTGAAACCGTACTGGTGGGCAACCTCCCGCACCTGCCCCCGCCCCGCCACCAGCACCGGCTCCTCTGCATACTGGGCCGCCAGCTGGCGGAAGGGCGTGTGGGACAGCACCACCTGGGACTCGTCCACGGCCACGCCCAGCCACTCGCTGAGCTGGTGCGCCTTGACGCGCTCCGTCACGCCGCCGCCGTTGGTGAGGAAGGCCAGCGGGTAGAGCGGGGCGGAGCCGTCGGGGGTGTACAGCTTTGCCAGAGCGCTGCGGGGCAGGCACAGGCACAGGCAGGTAGGACACCGGGCAGGCAGGTGGGCACGCAGGCGTGAGGCCACCACAGGGGTGACACGTGCAGCCGTCGCCGTTTCGCAGGCTTACCGCTTGGCCTGCGGCAACGTGTGACGTCCTTGGATGAGGACTGCGGGGGCGCAGGGGCGGCGCTGCTCCCTCAGTACAGCCTTGGAAATCTAATCAGGTGCATCTAGCATCTTTTGAAGCGACACAATGACAGCGGCGTCACCCTTCTCCCTTCTCCCGGCCTCCCTGTTCAAGCTCACCGCCATCAATGTCGAAGACAAAGGCGGGCGGCGCCTGGGCCAGCGCCTCTGATGCAGTGGAGAAGAGCCGGGCTGCCGTCAAGGCAGTGGACGGAGTGGCGGCAGCAGCAGTGGCAACGGCGAGGTGGCGGCCGCCGCCAGCAGAGGCTCCTGCCGCCTCTGCTGCAGCCAGCGCCAATCGTGTTAGAGTCTGCAGCAACAGGACAGCTTGAAGGGAGGTTTGTGGGCCCAGCCGGCTCAGGTTGCGGCGAGGGCGTCGGCAGGGGACGGGTCACCCTTGGCTCCTTACCCGGCAGCCCCTCATGTTGCCTGCGTATGGGGATATGGATGACCCCTCTTGTCCGTCTGCAAGCGCGCCAGCTGGTCCCTGCATCCCGCGTGGCACACGGCCTCTGGAAGGTGGGATCTTTGGGGATGCATGGACAGGCTCCTAACCTGAGCTGCAATTTTGGAGGCTGCAGCGATTGTAGCCGCCCAACGCACGCGACCTACCCCTGCCCCCGCCCATACCTCTCGATCACGCGCTGCAAGCCCCCGAGCGTGTGCCCCCAGCGACTGCTCTTGTACTGAGCCACAGACAGCGGCGTGAGCACGCTGCACGCGGCATGGCAGCAGCGCCCGCTCCAGAAGACACTTGGGGCGAGCTGCTGCTGGACGGGCTCCCGAATGTGGGACTACTGGACGACCTGCAGGTGCAGGCCTTTGGGCGGCGGGGGCGCTGGCAAGGGGAAAACTCTGCAGTCACCAACACGCTCGCCCCGCCTGCTCCTCCTCCCCCTGCTGCAGCTCGACTGCGGGCTGAGTGATGTGGGGCTGCCGCCCGGCCTGCACGACCTGGAGTGCTTGGACTTAGACGATCTGGGCGCCGCCGGCGGCGGCGCGGCCCCCGCCAGTTCCGACCTGCTGGAGAGCCTGCAGCTGGATGCCTTCTCGCATCCCGCCAGCAGCAGCGACGCGCGGCACTCGCCCAGCGACAGCGGCAGCGACTCGCCCGTGGTGCTGCCGCTGGTGGGCGCCGCGCCGGCCGCCCCCGCCACCGGCCCCCGCCAGGGCACGCCGCCGCGCGGCGCGGATGCCAGCCCCGCCACTTCGGAGAGCGAGACCAACGGCGGCGGCCGCTCCGGCAGCCCGGCGGCCGCCACCAGCCAGCGCGGGGCGCAGGCGGGCGGCGCAGCGGCCGCCCAGCAGCCACAGCGGCCGCTGAGCGAGGAGGAGAAGCGACTGGTGAGCGCCCGGCCAGCTGCCTGTCTGTTCCCACCCTGGCTGCGTGTGCCTGCAGTGCCTGCCCGCTTGCTCTGCGCCTGCTTGCCTACCTGCCTGCCTGCCTGCCTGCCTGCCAAGCATTCCTGCCTCCCGCCGCCGGCGACGTGCGCCGCAGGCGCGCATGCAGCGCAACCGCGAGAACGCGCAGCTGTCCCGGCAGCGCAAGAAGCAGCAGATGTCGGAGCTGGAGGCGCGCTGCGGCACGCTGACGCAGCGCAACGCGCAGCTGGCGGCCACGGTGCAGCGGCTGACCGCCGAAAACATGCAGCTGAGGCAGCAGCTGGTGCTGGTGTGCCAGCAGGCGGGGCGCGCGACTGGCGCAGCTGGCGCCAAGCCCGCCGCCGGCGCCGCAGCCGCAGCAGCCGCCGCCCAGGCGGGCAAGGTGGCGGGCGCAGCCCAGGCTCCCGCCACCGTTGCCGCAGCAGCAGCCAAGGGCGCGCAGCCGGCAGCGGGAGCAGCGCCTGCGGGCGTGGCCCCCAAGGGCGTGATTCCCCAGTGGCCCCTGCTCCCCTTTGGCTTCCTGCCTAAGGTCACCTTCTCTGTGCAGCAGTCTGGCCGCCCCACCGGCCAGCCAGCAGCAGCAGCAGCAGCCGCAGCCGCAGCGCCCGCCAAGCCGGCACAGCCAGCTGCTGCTGGCGCGGCCCGGGCCGCGCCCGCCGCGCCGGCGGCTGCCCGCCCGCCCAAGCGCGCCAAGACTGCTGCGGCAGGCGCCAGCAGCGCCTTGCTGGCCCTCTTCACCCTCTTCATGTTTGCGGGACCCCTCACGCCGGCGCCGCTGGCAGCCCCCGGCGCCAGCAGCGCCAGCGCCGCCGCCAGCATCGCGGCCGCGGCCGGCGCCCAGCGCATGCTGCAGGCCCTGCCAGAGTCGGCGGCGGCGCCGTTTCTGGACGGCGGCGAGGCGGCGGCGGGCGGCGGGCGCCGGCTGCAGGCGCTGCCCGCGGCGGCGTCCGAGGGGCAGGCGCCGCCGCGCGCGCTGCCCGCCGGCGGCGGCCGCCTGCACCAGCTGCTCAACAGCACGCTGCAGGCGCTGATGGAGGAGCCGGGCAACGCGGCGCTGGAGGCGGCGGCGCTGCAGCGCCTGCAGGAGCTGGGGCCCGTGGCGCTGCTGCTGGATGCCGACGGCGGCGCGGGCGCCGGCCCGCTGGCCGCCTCGGCCGCCTTCCCGCGCCTGGCGGGGCAGCTGTTTGGCGGCGCGGGGCTGGAGGTGCCCCAGATGTGCCACAAGGTGCTGGAGTTTGACGCTGCCTCGGTGCCGCACGCGGTGCGCAGCAGGCGCAGCCTGGAGCGGTACGTGCTCGGCGCCACGGGCTTCCGCGGCCGCAGCCTGGCGGCGGCCACGGCCGACGGCGGCGGCGGCGGCGCCGCCGCCGCAGACCCCGAGCCGCTCCGCATCGAGCAGCCGGCGGCGGCGGGCGGCGAGGAGGGCGGCGGCGAGGAGGACGGCGGCGGCGGCGGCGGCACCGCGCTGCTGCCGCGCGGCGGCGTCGCCGCTGGCCCGGTGCTCGTGTCGGTGCTGCTGCCCGCCAACGCCAGCGGCGGCGTCAAGCTGGCGTCCGTGGACAAGGTGTTTGTGGTGCTGCTGCACCCGCAGGACAAGTACCTCACCTACTCGTGCCCCCTGCCCCGCCCCGTGTTCCTGTGAGGCGGCTCGCCGTGAGACCCCTCGTGCCCGCGGACGCGCTTCTGCGCCGCGGCGACTTTCTGCGCCCTTTGAGAGGCAGCCAGGCGCTGGTGGCTGCCGCGGGTTGGCCCCGTGCCTCGCGCCTGGACTTTTGACCTTTGGATTTTGACGGTGTCATGAATGCATGCATGTGTGATTTCCCAAACCGCCGGCAGCCTTGCGCCCCCTCCCTCCCCTCACCGCCTCGTGCCCGCGCCCTTGCGCCTGTCCCCCTGTGTCCCCTCCGTGCGCTTGTGACCTTTTGATCAGCCCCGCACCTTTTGCTCTGCAGCAACGCACATCTCACCCCCGGCCTCCATTTGTTTGCCAGTCCCCCTTTCTGCTGTCTCCCACCCACTGCGAATCCATGACAGGTGTACACACTTGCCGCCTTTGATGCCTTCCCCGTCCCCTTGATCGCCTTTTACCTTTCTCCACACCCTAGCCCGTTGCTTTGATTGGACCCAATCCCTCTACAGCTTGCAGGTTGCTTGCCTTGCCTGTCTTGCCGGCTGGTGGGCTTGCCCCAGCCTACAGCCCGTCCCGCGTGCCTGCCCGCCGCTGCGTTG